CGAAAATATCACTTTTTATCAAAAATTACAAAAATATTCACCGAAATTAGAGAATTGAAGATATCATTACAAAATGAACAAATCTGAGAGAGGTCCACATGTAGTACCTATATATGTAATATCAAAGCAATTGCACTTGCGGTTTTCAACAAGAAGTCGAAAATATCACTTTTTACTAAAAATGACAAAAATATTCACCAAAATTAGAGAATTGAAGATATCATCATGAAATGAACAAATCTGAGAGAGGTCTACCCAAGGTACATATACACCAAGTATCAAAGCATTCAGGCTTGTAGTTTTCAAGAAGAAGTCGAAAAAGTAAAACATTGACACGGACGACGGAGACGACGGACAATCACTCATATGATAAGCTCCGCTCGACAAAGTCGACAGCGGAGCTAAAAAGTGACATACATACATACATACATACATACATACATACATACATACATACATACATACATACAGACATACAGACATACAGACATACAGACAGGGTAACTGCAAAGACTCCCTTTTGTGCTTCGCACACGGGAGTCAATTATGCTGTTTTATTTTGTGAAATGTGACATACCGGTATACTTACTTTATTCAAGGAGTTAGATATGATGTAGAAAACTGTTTTTTTTTTGTATATTGATTGTCCCTTGTCAGATTTCTGGGACATAAACAGAGATACGGTACAGGTACTTACCCGAATTCTGTTGGCAATATCTGGAACTACGATAACCATGTTATCATCATCTGTAACTGTAACAGTAAAGTCTCTCTTTAAACCAACAAGCTCTTGGTCTTGGCCGACATCAACACTCCAAATCTGCAAACACATGTCAAGTTCACCAATGTGTAGATTACAAATCAACAATAGACATGATCCAACCAGATCATTCTATTGAAATGACCAATCCAACTGGACCATTCTAACCAGATCATTCACTTGAAATGACCAATCCAACCAGATCATTCTATTGAAATGACCAATCCAACTGGACCATTCTAACCAGATCATTCACTTGAAATGACCAATCCAACCAGATCATTCTATTGAAATGACCAATCCAACTGGACCATTCTAACCAGATCATTCTATTGAAATGACCAATCCAACTGGACCATTCTAACTGGATCATCCTTTTGAAAAGACCAATCAAACTAGATCATTCTATTGAAATGCCCAATCAAACTGAATTATTCTTTTGAAAAGACCAATCATACTGAATCATACTTTTGAAAAGACCAATCCAACTAGATCATTCTATTGAAATGCCCAATCAAACTGAATTATTCTTTTGAAAAGACCAATCATACTGAATCATACTTTTGAAAAGACCAATCCAACCAGATCATTCTTTTGAAATGCCCAATCTAATTGAATCATTCTTTTAAAAAACCAATCCAACTGAATCATTCATTTGAAATGACCAATCCAACTAGATCATTCTATTGAAATGCCCAATCAAACTGAATTATTCTTTTGAAAAGACCAATCAAACTGAATCATACTTTTGAAAAGACCAATCCAACCAGATCATTCTTTTGAAATGCCCAATCTAATTGAATCATTCTTTTAAAAAACCAATCCAACTGAATCATTCATTTGAAATGACCAATCCAACTAGATCATTCTATTGAAATGCCCAATCAAACTGAATTATTCTTTTGAAAAGACCAATCAAACTGAATCATACTTTTGAAAAGACCAATCCAACTAGATCATTCTTTTGAAATGCCCAATCTAATTGAATCATTCTTTTGAA